TTCGAAGGCGAATTCGCAGTAGTCAAACGGTAGATATGGCTAAAGAAGAATACCTCTGTTCGAGGATGGGTAGCATAGCGACCGATACTATACAAATAGTTGGAAGTACACACTATTTCACATGACACTGATTCCCGTAATGCGGAGCAGGGTGGGGGGTAAAATAACAAGATATCCGCCCAAGGCCCATAAGACAAAATTATTGAAAATAATTAATTGAAGACATCAAGTTCATATATATTTGCCGCTTCTTAGCGCATATTTGCGACTCTATATACAAATTGTAAAGTGGCTGAGGTTACATGCCACGCTCGTAAAACAAGTCAACATGATCAGCAAAGACAATACCATTAGCAATTTCAGACTCGTAAGGTATTCCAAAATATTAAGTAGCAGGAGCACAGAAAATATTCTTGGCAGTCAAATTAGGACTACAATGATGGTGCCTAATCCTCATATCATTTGGATCAATTAGACGTGACGACCAAGTACCCAAAACAAGTTGGCTGAACTGGTTGAGGAAAATATACAGAGGGAATATCCTACATGATGGAAAATTGAATAGCTGGAAGGAATAAAGTTAATCATGATGTCAACGATGATAGATACGAAGGAGCATGGAATTAAAATTCAAAGCGTCAACAGCAGGGGCCGGAGCAAGAATGAAGAAGTGAATAGGCGATAAGTTAACTGATGACGACAGGGAATTAATGTTCACATGGGAGAAATGCGTTGGGCCACGAGAGAACCGGTGTTTGGTTGAATCACACAGTCACATTTGATGCATTCGAGAAACAGACTCAAGAAAGTTTGTTCTCGAGGCAGAGCTTTTGGAATAGTATGACTGTGTGCAAAAATAACATAGGCAGCCAAGCGCCTGCAGTAACAACAGTACTAATACACTTAAAGCGAAAAAGACAAGAGAATACAAATAAAATACAAAATGCGATATAATGAATATTAGAAGTGCAAATAACAAAAATTAGCAATAATACGGTTTCAGTATCAAAATAGATGGAATCGACTGTTTAGTGAAGAACAATTAAACTAGAGGGAGTCTCGATAATTTACGTCACAAAGACAGGTGGAATGGGCGGGCGAGTAGCAGGCGGAGTCATGTAGAGGGTAGAAAAATATGTAAGGAGTAGATACAGGAGAAACTAGACACAAAAGTATCTTAGCGATCAGGACAGCTGTCTGATGAGGAATAAAATGATTGACCTCCGAGAGGTGCTGGAAATGAAACGTGTGCAAAATAAAGCACAGCACAAGATAGCGGAATAGTTAGTCCATTTAAATGATACCTTAATACAAGATGCACAAACTAACAAAACATCCCTTGAAGTAGTTGAAGTCAATAACAAGGGCTCTAAACAGTAGTAGGCCCAATAAAGTGTTTTAAGTCATGTCACTGACATCAGACACCAGTCGACAAGTTAGAAAAATATCAATGTTAAGAATAACAAAAGTAAAGCACAGCCATGGCACGATGGCGGTCGACCCAGGTTTGTCAAAAATAGGGTTTGGATTCGATTATATTAAAATGCCATCACCATTGGAAATCAAGGATGAAAAGTGAGGGAATGCCTAAAATAGGAGAAAAACGTAACAATACGATTGAGTCAGCAAATTCATAATATAAATGCAGCTCAAGTTGGCAACGCAGCCAAGACTAGTGAAACCCTGCTGCCTGCCCGGTTCTTAAACAGACCAGGAAGAGGAATGTCTATCATGCATATGACATAAATGCATTGAAATACAAAGATAAAGCGGAACTACGAAGTGGCTCGCTTTAAATTAATGGTCGTCAAGGATATGCGAACAAGCTAGTGATAGAACAAAGTCACAACTTAACTTGATTGGACGGGTGCTGGTCAGGGGCGAATGACCCGTCAAAAATACTTACACCAGCACTTGGAGAAACAGTGCTCACAAAAAGATTGTCATAGGAAAGCGGAGACACAGTTGAATTAAAACGACATGAATAAAAACATACAAAAAATAAAGGCAATTTGATGTCTGGCCAATCGATGTGTACCGAACGATCGCTAAAACGCTAACTAATGATTGACATTATATCTTGGTCAGAAATAACGGATACGACAGTGGTGGATCATTTGATTATTTCAACCATTTCGATAGCGGCTATGCAGAATACAGAGGGGCACAAAAATAGAATACTTCTCGGTGCAATGAGAAACATAAGTAAAACAATGACGACGTTAAGATGATGCCAGTATGCTGAATAGAAAGCTCGAAATAAATGAATTCGAGTATCAACAACATTCGTAATAACCTCCTTGTATAAAATACAGAGAAAATCAAGAATCCTGTCCACAAGAAGGCAGTACTCACAAAAAATGATGCTGCGCAAGAATCAGCTCGGTCCACCGTCTTGTAAATAATAATGCATCATGTATAGTAGCCTCGGCAAAGTGGCTAAAACTACTGGACGAACGAGATGAACAGATTGGAATCAGATAGCTCCTAATGAAGTCAGGATTCCGCGGGAATGAATTACAGTTGCTCAAAAGCTATAGGAAACTTAAGTGTTTATGCATCCTATTAACGCATGGGCGAGAAAGTAATGGTGGTGGACGGAGTTTAGTAGACTGCAACAGTCCGACCGCTGGCAAATCTTAGATGTAACAAGTAGTAAATACAACTGAGAATTGCTTAGTGGATCTAACCACGAGTCTGCCAGGACAGACTACAGATGATGAGAATACTTCACGCCATTCCTCCAGTATCAGCAGTAGCTGTCTGGCCATGGAACAGAGAATTCAAATTAGCACCAGTTCCGTTATTCAGCCGAGTCCCGCCACTATTACTACTGACAACGACACTGCCTGCTTTTACGAGGGTCAGCAATTGCTCCAACGCAGCTTGTCTCCTTTGCCCAGCGGCTCTCAACTCATCTGCTATGTGGGCGACCATATCGGTTAGGCGTACATGCACTGCTTCTTCGTCCCGCAAACGCTCGACTACGCAAGCCAACTCACTTCCGGGAGGGATACGCTCCAGAATACTAGCGGCGGCAGCGGCAGCAGATATAGTAGTCATTGAAGAGGTATGAACAGAGAGAGGGCAGGTGGGATCGATTGACATTCTACTCGAGGTAGAGGAAGGAAGGTTCAACTCACCAGAACCGTTGCTTGTCACAAGCCCATTTAAAGCATTAACATTGACCATTAGACCGTTTGTAGCGGAGCTGCCGACACTAGTACCGACAGAGACATCTTCATTGGAGCTCAATGAAGGGGCATTACTCCCAACCAGCCCATTAAGAAGAGTAGCAGCTAAGGAAACGGCGGGGAGACTGCCTCCGCCATGAAGGCCTGAACCATTTACAGATTGCACTCCTGCTTGTAGGATGGTAGAGATAGGAATGAGATCGGGAGTGTGTGAAGGATGACCGTTGGTAGATTGAGCGGATTCCGTTTCATTTACTCGCTGCTGTTGGCGTATGAGATCAGTGAAGAACTGAGATTGCACAAGAAGAGCTGCTGCCGCAGGACTGAACAAGAAGGGTAGATTAGGCTGAGTCTGGGAAACGGTGTCAACTTCAGGGGACGACGATTGGTTAGCTGAGGTAAGGACAGCGGGGGCGACCCGGGCGGAATTGTTTGTGTTTTCGTTAGGGCTGATATTGATAAACTTATTGACCGATGGCGGGTTGTTCGGACCAAGATTTGTGAAGAGCACAGTGCCAGGAACGGGATTATCATTTGAACTATGTAATCCATTTGTGTAGGGTTTGTGGTCCAATGTATGAGGAGTATTTGAGTAATGAGAAGGCGTAGAAGACCTTGGAGTGGTGCAGTTTGCCAGACGGTGGAATGCAGGAGAATCGGGAGGATGTGCCATCGTAGGAAGAGACTTCACTGTGCTGGATCCTAGACCTCCAGGAGTGCATGGAGTAGATCGAATACCTGTTCGGTCACTACAAACTTGCATTGTTGTTGCGTCAACGTTGGGATATATGATCAGAATGAGTCTAGCCACTCGCCTAAGAATGTCAGCGTTCCTGACAGCCTTTTGAGGATTGTTGACTAAAAGGCGAACATCTCGTCTCAAATTCTTCCATTTATTGTAACAATGTTCAGTCGTGAAGCCAAGATGTTCCATTTCCGACCCAATTGCCTGCCAAACCTGTTTATGCTTTTTGTGAACATTAAATTCTTCAAGATGTTTTTCCACATAATCAAGCAAGGTCTGAATGTTGGCATTAGTCCAATGAACCTTCTTGTCGGAAGGATCGGCAGGATGTCTTGGGCTATCCACTGCGCATGATGATGGCCGATTTGGCTCATCATCATCATCGGCCACCATTGTAACATCATTTGGCCCATCATTAATGTCGTTTGGGTCCGCTAAATTCCTGTCTGGTGAACGCATTTGGTAGCCAATGATCTCACCATTATCTTCATCATCGTCTTCGGCATCTTCAGGGAAGCTAGGACTAGATTTTTCAGGACTCTTAGAGGGGCACTCCTCCATTTCTTAAAACATTTAAAAGTGAAAAATAAAATTACATACAAGCTCAAAAAAATAAGAATAATATAAGATAGGAATTTCTGAGGAAATTATGGCTGAGGATCAGACAAAGGATCTCGATCTGGTTCAAGTGAAGAGAATCAGATCAGCAAAAAGGTGATGAAATCAAATGCAAATCTTGAAATTTAATAATAAGAATAAAATGATTAATTACGCAATACACTTGCCTAAGAGTTGATCAAAAGAGGGTTCAGCGCCCCCTAGGCAGAGAATGATTGGAGCAGCTATGGGGGGCAGGAAAACTTAAACAAACAAGATCGGGATCTTTGTCAAGGTTCGAGATCGGCAACACCTGGGCAAAGTAAAAATACAATAACTCTCATAAAGAACATTTCGGTGTAAAGTATACATAAATTAAATATATGGGATTGATTAACTAGAGCAGCTTAATATTCAATAAAATCATTAGAACAGTAAACAAATAATATAATACTATGGTAAATTATTAAATGCAATGAACTAGTCTATTATTATTGCACATATTTTTTTTCACTGAAGCGCAATATGTAAACATTGTAAGCCGTATTCGCGTGATCCTGCCTAAGTAAAATACAAATTAAAATAAAACGTATTTTTTGAATTTAAATAAATTTATTTATTTATTTTATATGTGTACTTATTCAGGAAAATGGGCGTAACACTGATTATTCATTACTATTTCTTCTAGATAGAATGCTTGCTGTGAAAACGGCTTTTTTAATCTATTCGAGAATGCACAGCGTAAAAAATTTGGTTGAACAATTAAATTATTGATACCTATACACATTTCAAAGCTTTCGCTATTTATACTAGTTAAATAATAAAAACCTTATAAATTTAAATTTTATCTTAAAAGATTACTTGGCATATTTATTATTTGACACCAGCCACCAAAATTGCTTCTTATGCCGGCTTAAAAACATGAATTAAAGCTGGGATGCTGGCAAATCAGGAATCAGCAGAGAAGTTACCTTGAAACCTAGGTGAAAATATTCTAAAATTATTACCACACTGCTATAAGACAAATTATCACACAACTTGGAATATGGAATCATGTTTGTTAATTTATGCGATAATTTGGAAAAAAGACTAAACGTTAGCGCTTATATTAGTAAATTTTATAGACTAGCGAAAAGAATTTGTCTTTTAAAAATCAAATGATTCGTTCTTAAATAAAAGCCAAGCGAAATATAATTGATGTAGTTATTGCATTAATCACTAAACAACTATCTGTGCTATAATCTTTTTAATATGTTTCACAAACTATATATATATTACATTTATAGGCTTCTGCAACTATGTATCTCCATTCGTAAATATTAATAAATACCATACCAAGACTTTTAAATACTCTTATACAAATAACATTGCTCATTCCTTAAGTAAAAATAGATGCACAAATTTACATGCCTGGATTTATCTTCAAATATTTACCTACCAAAATCTTTATATACTTGCAGATGTATTTATCTACTTATCATGTATCTAGATGGATACAACGTAAATAATGTAAATCCATTCTAGCAAATAAAGTACTGAGTTTATATATGAATATAAATCATATATATATATATATATATATATATTCGCATCACTCCATGATGTAGCTTGTGCTTTGATGAATCCACACAACACTCTGAAGTGGATCTAATCTCGTAATTATTGAAATTATCCAGATTAGCAACGAAATAACTCTCTGCCTTTATTTTTTTTCATTTTCAGTAAAGAATCACATTTACCTCATAGTTTGATACCAGAATTATATAATTATAACAATCCTGCCATTATTTTTCCATCTTATTTGGTTATTTCTATGCGCCAAGCGTAAGAATTATATACTCATCTAACTGCATATGTATCGCTAAAGGTGGATATTTAATTTTTTAACTGCATTTAGTAATAATTCATCATAAGATTGTAAAAGAGGAAAAAAGTAGCTATTTTTTTCTTTATTCAATTGGCATACACTTTTTCGAATTTTACTGATTCTTCGAAGAAGATACATCCAAGTTGCACCCAAGATAACTTCACCAATTAAGATTCTATCACCTAAAGGGGTCTTACTATGGTAGAATTAGGAAAGATCTAGACAAATTGTAATTTCTCTTCATAGGCCATATGCTTAAATAACCATTTTCAAGGCTATTCTCGAACCAAATAGTGATAAGTAATTAGCATTAAATGATGGATATAAGACTTTGAGTAGTCCAAGCAAACATATATTAACAATATAGCATAGTCTGCTCAATATTCCCTGCATAGGGCCAGAGTGTAGTGTGTGGAAATTCCATGAAATCTTCTCAAAAGGACACAACATACTGCATTTAAATCAGCGAGTAAAAATTGTGATAGTGAAGGCGTGATACGAGGATATATGATTGGTGATTAGCCCAGGGTGGAAGGAGGGATACCACGATTGCTTAGCAGACAATTGGTTAAAGGATCGGCTTCAATTGTCTCTATTAGAAATTGTAGTGTAGACCTAATGGCAATGCTCACTGACGATACCGGCGAAATGTCTGTGAATATACCACGTCCACGGTCCGACTCTGGAAATTAGCATTCATAATATGGACTCTGGATCAGGTGCATTCCTCTATATCTTCCTAACAATATGACCGAGTTGCT